ACATGCATGGAAAAGGAATGTGATCCAGATTTTTTCCTCTAATAACCACTGTTCCTCTTTCCTTTCTTCTCACAGCATACATGCAGGCTGAGTGAAACAGGTTTTTGTTTTGTTTTCCCAGACAGACACAAAGTGGTAAAATAAGGTTTTGTTTGAACAAAGATTGTATATACATAGCTTGCATTTCTAGAGACTAAATCTTGAGGAGACAGGCCAGGTATGCAGGTATGCTATATGTAGGGATGCATAATGACTTGGGGAAAGGAAACCTGGGGAAGATTTGCAGCACTCAGGTAAGAACTGGGTCCTTGAAACAATCAGATCTAAAATCAATGGCAAGGAGGGTATAGAATGCCTGGTGGGGTTGATCAAGTGCAGTGTAGCTGAGAAAAAGCACTGAGAGCTGAATGAAGGTTGAATATGATAGTGAGACCAGAGGAAAATAAAAAGAAATAGAGGAAGGGACTAGGAGGCCAAAGATACTTATAGAGGTATAAATATAGGCGTGCACATGTGTACCATATATACTCGAGTATAAGCTGACCTGAAAATCAGCTGAGGCACCTAATTTTACTACAAAAATTGCATTAAAAATGTGCTAAAAAACTCGGCTCATACATGAATATATATGGTAGGTATACCTACCCTATAACAATAGGGATATAGGTCTGTATACATATATCAAATGTTAAGTATATTAAGGTAAAAGGCAGGCGCTGGGTCTCTACTCAAGTCCTCCCTCAATGCAAGAACACTTTGTTCTAATAACCTGGCATTCTGTGATGCTCACCCTCCTACCAGGATCACTGAAGACAAAATGGGTGCATAAGCAAATGTGGTGAAGATAGCTGATGGTGCCCAGCTATCAAAAGATATAGCATCTGGGATCTAAAAGGCTTGAAATTAAACAAGCTGCCATTTGGCTGATGTGTTAGCCTGGGTATACTAGAGAAATAAATTCATAGACACACATGTAAGAGAGAGCTTTATATAAAGAGTATTTGTACATTTAGAAAGCATCCGAACCCAGTTCAGTCAAAGCCCATAATTCTGATATTAGCCTATATGTCTGATACCAATCTCTAAAGTCCTCCTCAGACTCATGAAACACATGCAATGATGCTGAATGCAGGATGATCACAGGCCAGTAGGTAGAAAGTTTGGATCCAGTGGTGTTGTAAGCATCTCAGCGCTGGCAGGGGTTTCTACATGGCTTCTCCAGCTTCAGAGGTCTGGTTGCATCAGGGTAGGTCCATGTGACTTCTCCAGCTCCAGGCACTAGCATAGTTTCATGTGTCTTGTCAGTGCAATGTCTCCCAGGAAGTGATCAGAGAGAGAGTTTGTCTCCTGCCTCCAAGGAGGAAAAATCAGATTTCCCAGAAATCTCAGGAGAAAGCCATGCCCAAACAGAGAGGCCTTATTGGCTATGATTTGATTGACAGACTAGACTCCACCCCTTCAGTTTTAATCCTATCAAGTCCCAAATTGACACCAGATTAAGTAACTACCACAGCTGGGAAGCAAAAAAGCCCACATGGAAGAAGCACACCATCCTGTGTGATCACAAGGTGTAAACGGATCAGTATCAGGCATCAGAAGACCCAAAACAAAAAATCATACTGATGCGGACCATGGTGGTCAGAGTGGAGACCCAAAGCCCATCTATAGACAATTGGACATCCCCTCACAGAAGGGTCACAAGGAAGAGACAAACCAGCCAGGGTGCAGTACAGTACCAATGAAACACACAACATATCTCTAGTTCTTTAATGTTTCCTCCCCTGGCACCCTACCCTCCCATCCCACTATCATAACCTCAGTTCTACCTTACAAACCTGGCTAGACCGGAGCATGTACACTGGTACAGATAAGAGCTCTTCACACAACAGAGCAATGAAGTCCCCCGGGGAATACAAAAAATAGACGGTGGAGCTAGGGCTTGGTGCCCCAACAGACTCAACTGGAAAACATGCCTAAAGGCAAACAAAGAGTCCTTGAACTAACTACAAGCTTTTTTTTCTTGTTGTGTTTTATTTTGTTTGTTT